AATGCTCACACATAAATCTTCGTGAAAAGACATATGCTTGGACAGACACGAAGAAATTATTCATTTATTTGTTTATTTACAACTGTCGCACGTCTGTCGATTACAAAATGAAATAGGAATGGGAGACACGGTTACAACCAGTCCAATATCCTTCTATTTTATAAAGCGCTAACTTTGTGTGTCGGTTTGTGTATCTGTATGTGTGTGTGTGTATGTATGTGTGTCCGTCCGCAAAATGAAGTGAGTGAGAAGGAAGCTCATGGGATAAACAAACCGCTAACAAATCGGGTAGCTTACAGGATTTGAGATATCAATGTTTTGTAGCAGGATAGTTGTGATAACACTCTTAGGGCTATATAAACACCTGCTTAGCACACTTCCGTTCATTCCACATGGTGCTGCAGTGGCAGCTGGAGGGCAGTGGAGAGAGGAAGGGAGGATGAGGGAGGGAAGCGAAAAATCTACCGTCATATCATGATTGTGTCCCTTCTACTGTATGAAACACCATTGTGTGTTGCATACGCGTCACTTCCAGGAGGTGTTGGTGTCACAGGAGGAAGGGACCATAGCGGAGGATAGAAAGCTTGCGCATTAAAGGAAGGTCCCGGCGGTTGACGGGGGGACTAATCTGGTTAATTTAAATTGAAGCCCGTATAACTTCATTTATAGCATAAGACAGATTTTGTGTTTGCTTAATCTTGTGGTCGGGCTACGCGGTCTTACGTTTTTCTTCGTCAACTTTGCAGGTGCTGGCCTCGACTAAGGGACACAAAGCGACTTTTCCGCGTTCTCGCAGCGCGAAAATTTTTTGCTGCAGGCACACTCCCAGGTCATCAATCTTGATCAGCTAGTGGACCGTGAGGTTTCCTCGCAGCGACAAATTCGTTCTCAGCGCTGACGGAACCGCGGAACAACAGTCAGCTTCTAGTCCTATGACACCACGCCCTAATTTGCACTTCCTTACTCATTCGCGGTGGCCAGAACTTGTCTAGCACCAACGTAGAGCCGATTCGCGTCACTAGCTTTAGACAATTAATGTGGGACCGTTGCAAACGCTCCTGCGTAAAGAGAGAATTGAACTAGAGTTACGAAATAGTAAAAAGTCATGAAAACCTTAAATCTCTCTCTTTGGCCCCCCGAGCCACATTGCGCCCTTTTTTGCTTTCATGAAAAACTTGAATCGTATCACAAACACTGGGACGGAACGAAATAAAATCTCTGGACCCGCTAATAGCTCGCTACTCATGCGATTCCGCTGCAAGGGAAGCATACATAAACCTAGGAATTCAGCGAATATTGTGAATGGGCCAGGTCACATTCAATAATTAATACTGCCCTAGAACGTTCGTTCATGTGATGCGTCGGCAATCCACCAGTCGATACGTATACATTCTCTTCACCAATATCGCTAAATCAACGAATCACCTAGTCGCATAATCACACAGGTCACGAGATATGAATGGGCCAAGTGGGCGCTATCGCAAGATACGCGGGCATTGTAGTGGCAATGCATTTAAGACCGTTAGAACATGGCCTTTTTGTTGAAATCGGGACTAAGCCTTAGGCGAGGGAGGAGAGATTCTACGGTTCGCGAGCATTTGTTTTCCACAAGTCCTATCCCCTCTGACAGGCTCAGCCCTAAAGAATGGCCCCATATCTTGCGATAGCGTTGCCAACTGTCTGAACAAATCCGAATCTCAACGAATCGTCACGACACGGCAGGTAGCCAGTAGACCCGACACGCCATAAAAGCTACCAAATAATTTTGTGCTCCAGTCACAACTTGACTTCTCCTTAGGACCAGCTCCTATGACACGCCGGCGATTTCGCGCGCAGCGGTGGCGCTGCGAGCGTGTTTCACGGTGGGACGAAAACAATTTCTTAAATCATGCCTATTTCTTTCCACAACAAATCTGGGACGGTTTTCAGGTGGTTAGGGTGGCTGAGCATTGAGTTGCACATAGTTGCTGATCAGGCCTTATGTTTTGGTTCATTGTGATAGTCTGGCATTGTTTGTTGTGCCGTTATCGCCTCGCAGTTTACCTTGTTGTTGTTGCTTCAGCAAGTACAAGGATGCCAACTTTTCAGGTTGTTTCACCGTTTTATTGTAGTACTGCGATGTCTAATCAGACTCCATATATTGGGAGTAAAATTAGTCTAATATCGAAACTCGATATTCGCTATGAAGGAATACTCTACACTGTCGATACGAACGATTCCACGATTGCATTAGCGAAAGGTTCATTTTGGTTTCATAAACATCACTTTTTGTTTGTGTTCGTTCTTAATGAGCGGGATATTTCAGTACGATCATTCGGTACCGAGGACCGTCCAACGCCGAATCCGGTCGAAGCACGTGACGATGTTTATGAGTACATCATATTTAAGGCAAACGACATAAAGGACCTCATCGTATGCGAAACACCAAAGGTGCAAGATCGACTGCTTTACGTCAATTCGTTATACAATTCTCCGATTATAGGTTGCAACCCTCGCAGGTGGGCTTCCATACGATCCGGCGATCATATCGGTGTCCGCTCGTACAGGATCCGCTTCTGCCAACGAACAGCAGGCTTCCGCTGGTTCATCTCGCTCCGATACCCCCCATCATCGTGCCAGCCCCAACCTTGCTCAAGGCAATCGAGCACCTGGTGCTGGACGGAATGCAGCCGCTCGTACAAATCGTGGGAACTTCGCACCGCCAGGTGAGTCCAAACGAGCCACGAATGTAATCGCTGATGCTATATGAATCGGGTGGGCACACCAATTTCTCATATTACTCATCACCTATAATTCTACTAACTGCTTACTCACCCGGCTCCTTCACTGAAACAGCTTGGGGAAACGACGCCGCGTTAATAGTTCGCGACTCCGGAGATTAGGATAGTAGGCGACAGGATATTAGGATAGTAGTAGAGTAGGAGATTGCGCTGACAAGATTGGATACGTATCGATTGAAATCGCTGGAGAGTAGTAGATTGGGCGACTTCAAGCGAATAGATCAATACATATCTAATCTTGTCAGCGCACTATCCTAATCTCCTACTCTACTACTATCCTTCTAAGGCCGCGTTCATAGTTCGCGACTCGGGAGATTAGGATAGTAGGCGACAGGATATTAGGATAGTAGTAGAGTAGGAGATTGCGCTGACAAGATTGGATACGTATCGATTGAAATCGCTGGAGAGTAGTAGATTGGGCGACTTCAAGCGAATAGATCAATACATATCTAATCTTGTCAGCGCACTATCCTAATCTACTACTATCCTACTATCGTAATATCGCAATCTACTACTCTCCGGCGATTTCAATCGATACGTATCTGATTTTGTCAAGCAATTCGCCATCGAAACTTCTATCTCA